TCCTCATGCGGTGGTGACCCCCAACCATAAAACTATTTTCGCTGCTACTTCATGACGGTCATTTCGCTACTGTGATGAATCGGGCAACCCCTGTGGGAGGGACGTTGGACCCCCAAAGGGGTGGCGACCCACAGGTTGAGAACCACTGCCCTGAGAGAGGCCCTGCTGCCAGGCTGGCCCGCCGGGTCTGGGGTCAGCAAGCTAGCTGGGAAGGGGCTGTCCTCGCTGCTCTCGGGAGGCAGCGTTGGTGAGGGGTGGGCTTGGAGTCCTTCTTTGAGATCGAAGAGGAACAGCAGGCAAATGGGGGGGCTTCCCACTGACCCCAGAGGGAGGGTGCCAGGGCCTTCTCCCAGAGCCCAAGAGAGAGAGAGGCAGAGAAACAAGCCTTCCCCCAGAGCCCAGAGGGTGGGCTTCTCTGAGAGCCCAGAGAGAGAGAATTTCCCCCTTAGAGCTGACACCCTGAAGTCAGGCTGCCAGCTCCCTCAACGGTGAGAAAAGGGGGCCTGGTGGTGGAGAGGATTCAGCGGAGTTCTGGTGGGTGGCAACGCCCTCTCTGTTGACTCTGGGTGAAGCTCCTTCTCCCCAGCCCCTGGTGGGTCACTCCTGGGCTGCTAACTGCAAAAGCGGAAGTTCCAACCCACCGTCCGCTCCTTGGGACAAAGATGAGCCTTCTGCTCTGAGAGAGATTGACACCCCGAAAACCCCCGGGCAGGTCTGTTCTGCTACCCTTCCGTCCTGCACGGCCGCTAGGACAGAGTCCACTCAAAGAGAGTCCACTCAAAGGCAGGGGGTTTGGGGTTTGGCTGGCCACCAGGTCAGCAGTTGAAACCCACCAGATAGGTGAGGTCTTGTGCGTCCCTCACGTCTTAGTTTCTGACACCTGACAGGGCAGTTCACCTCCCTTCTGCTGGGCCGCTGTGGGTCAGAACTGACACCACGTCCCGCCCGGAGTGGCTTCGAGAGAAACTGCATTTCTGTTCATGAAAGCCACCCCTCCACCCCGGGGGGCTTTCAGACTCCGAGCAGCCCCAGACCCTGAGGCTGGAGACTGCTTTCAACCCTCCACCCCTCGGCAAATACAAGCCGGTGTGCACTCTTTATCCACAACCCCCGCCGGGTTCTGTCTGGTGGAGCCTGCTCTTCCTGGGCAAACAATGCTGAACGCCCGCTCAGGGATGCTTGCAAACCCTGCTCACCGGACCCCAGAGCTGCATCTCGGGTCTGTCGCTCCCCTCTGTGCTGATCAAAGAGCGAGCCCACAGCCCACAGCAACGGGGAGATCTCTGGGAGGTCCTCTCTCACATGCCCCCACCCCGGAGCTGGCTGCCTGCAGAGTTGCAGAATACTCCTGGTCTGGGGACCCCTCTGCCTGGGGACGTGGCCACAGGCTCCTGTCCCCCCTTGTCTGCGTGCCCACCCTCTGCAGCCAGACTCTCCCAGCTCAGTGGTGCCTGCTCACTGCCCCCCACCCCCAGGCCCACCCACACCCTGCCACCTGACCTCTCTGCACACCTTTGGAGGTAAGGTCCCTGGGGCCACTTCTTGACACTGGATTTCACAACGCCCCGAGGCTAAAGCCCTTTATCTGAGACTGAAAACATGCCCCCCACCACCACCTCCACCTCCACTTCCTGTGGCTCAACTTTCCACCAAGGCACCTCAAAGTCGCTGCCACACAGCCGCGGCCGCCAAGGCACAGGGGAGCAGCCCCCTGTGGGTCTCCCAGGCTGGCCCTCGAGATGGGCACAGACACGCGTGTCTTTTGGCCGTGGGGCTGCGGGTGGATTCGAACCTCGGACCTTGCGGTTAGAGAGCCCACCGTGTAACCCTCTCGGCCACCAGGGCCCCTGGGCCCAACCGGAGCCGGGTCTGCAGGGTGCACAGCGCCCTGGGGAGGTACCACGCCTTACAACCAGCGGGTCTGGTTTTGGGGTGGGGTGGGGTCCCGAGGACCAAGTGGGGAAGGGCTGGGGAAGGGGGAGGGGTGGGAAGGGGTTTAGGGGTGACGCTCAGGGAGAGGACGTGAAACAATGCAATGGAAACCGGATGGGGCCGGATGGGCCCCCGCCAGCCATCCCCAACCCAGGAGGTACCACGGATGCGTGGGCGGGCGGATGGATCGTGCTGGCCCCGCCCATAGCCCCGCCCACTCCCCGCGACACGCCCTCGCTCATAGCCCCGCCCACGTCCCTGGCCCCGCCCTCCGCCACAGCATGCCCTCATCCTTCGCCACGCCCTCGCCCCTGGCCCCGCCCTGTCCTTACCTTTCGCCACGCCCACGACCAGCCCTCGCCCCTCCCTCATCCCTGGCCCCGCCCCCCACCTTCGTCACGCTCGGAAACCCAGGGGCAGCTCGGCCCTGTCCTGCACGGTCACTGTGAGTCGGCATCCACTCCATAGCCGTGTGTTTAACCATCTATCTGTCTGCATAGCTCCCTATCCATTAGCTCCTCGGGAGAAAGACCAGACTGTCTGCTCCTGTAAAGACCGACAGTCTGGGACACTCAGGGGCAGCTCTGCCCTGTCCTGCACGGTCACTGTGAGTC